AAAAAAAAAAAAAAAAAAAGAATGAAATCAGCCTGGACTACATAATGAGTTCAAGACCAAACTGGACAACAGAGTGAGACCCTGTGTCCAAAAAAAAAAAAAAAAAAAAGACAAACCAAAAAACCAATTACGTAAGGACAGAAAATGAAAGGGGGTGCTGTGGTGACCCCTCAGAGCTGCCTCAGTAGAGGAGATTGAGCTGCATGGTGAACTGAAGGCCTGAGAAGTGGCTGGCAAAGTGTGATGCAGGTGGAACAACTTTGGCTGGAAAGATGAAGTTTTGGTGCTTGTTTTCAGGCAAAGATATCAGGGAAGGGAGAGGCCTAAGGCTTGAGGAGGAAGGACTCACGGACGCCACGGGGATGGCCCAGTGTGGACTGGAGAGGGGTGTGTGGAAAAGCCCCAGCCCCCTTTCCACTTTGGACCTGTTGGGTTTGAGATGCCCACAGATGCCACAGAACACAGCACTTTGGAAATGTGGCACTTAGCTTGGTTTTATCTACTGTGTTAAACCTTTGGTTAATATGTCGGAGGCTGGGAGTATGGTGGTCAGTTCCAGCATTTAGATGTATGGATGTATTTAGTCCTCTCCGTAGTTTGTAATTCTAGTTATAACCTGCTCATTTGATGGGACTTGTGGTGATCTCTCTTCTCTGTGAAACAAGTTCTGTAGATTACAGACATTTCCATTCCTAGTAGTAACTGTGTGATGTGTTCAATGAAAAACTTTATATTCATCTTAATATTTTAGAACTATAGTGTCATTTATTTAAAATCAAAAAGTGCAAATGCCACTTAGTGAGGGAGGATGTCTTTGTGGATGTAAGTTGCTAAGTGTCTCATTGGACGAGAGTGCTTTTCAAAATGCCTTTTAAATGCCATTGTTTGTCATCCTGCTGGGTTTTAGGGGCCTGGGAAGTAGTGCTGGTACTGGGAGCTCTGATGTGTATAAGGGAGGTAGGTTTAGGATTTGAAGACTTTCTGTGTCCCAGTGGTACCTTTGGATAAACCAGTGTGTGGTAGTGCAAGGGCTGCCCGGGGTGGCTTCTGCTCCATGTGTGGTCTGCTTAGATCCCATTGAGGGGCCGGGGATATAGTTTAGTAGCGTAAACACCTGCCTGGCAAGTGCAAGTTCCTGAGTTTGATCCCTGTTACTGAAAAAAAAAAAAAAAAAAAAAAAAAAAAGAAAGAAAGAAAGAAAGAAAACAAAAGGAAATTTAGATCCCATTGAGATAGGTCATTGTGGCAAAAGAAAATTTTAAACACAAGACGTCTATAGATTGTACTGGAATGATACTTCTCTTTTACATTGTGCCGTGCTTAAAATCACATTTGCTTTGATTTGTACCTGTAAATATCTACAGATCCTGTAAGCAAAAGAGCCTGGAAACCAACAGGTTAGTGTTAACATTATATTCATGTAATTTTGCTTTTCCAAAGGTAAAGAAACAACCATTAACTCTTTTGAGTCTGAACAAACAGAGAAGTGTGTTAAGTCACACAGAAATAGATATGTGGCTCAGTGGAAATGAAGTTGTTAGTGGCACTAGAGACATGCCTGTTAGAGTGTACAGTGTCCCCAGCAACATTCCAGAGTTGTTCTCAGCTACCCTTTTCCCGTAGAGGTGCAGATAATGTGGGGCACCAGCAGATGAGTGTCTGGTAGAGCCTTCCAAGAGGAGGTCAGTGGGCCAGGTGTGGAGAGAGCCATGTGGCTTGCTACGTGGAGCTGCTAACACAGTGTTTTCTTGTCCTTCAGTTGCATCCGGTGATAAAGGCTTTTCTGTGTGGCTCCATCAGTGGGACCTGTTCCACCCTACTTTTCCAGCCTCTGGATCTCCTTAAAACACGCCTGCAGACTCTCCGGGCCTCAGACCATGGGTAGGGCTTGCCGCCTGCGTTGCTTTGGGGAACTTGGTTCAACAACTTCTTAGGTTGCCGGACCATCTTCACCTGTTAATCAACTTTCATTCTGGTGGATGCTTATTGAGAAACACTGATGTACTTAACTGCCGTTTGTCTTCTATGTACTTTTTCCTGTGAATGTATTTTTGTATGTGATAATTTCTATAATTAAATGGGGTCTTTTGCTAACCAATTCCATAGGATCTGCTTTGATGACATTTGCTTTTTTTTTTTTTTGTGGAGCCAGGGATTGAACTCAAGTCCTTGAGCTTGCCAGGCAAGCATTTATTCAACTGAGCTATCTCCCCAGCCCCCAATTTTTTTTTTTGACATTTGCATTTTATTGTGCTAGCTTGTGAAAACTGTATACATTCCTTCTTTAATGACAGAGCTCTGCTACCTTGACTAGATCATTAAATGAATGTCATAAATGAGAAATTGTATATTGCATGTACATTACAGTATTGTACTGCCAGGAAGTGGGTGGCTTTCTGGAAGTAATGTCATTTTTGAATGTCTATTCTGTGCTACTGTGTGAAGCCCAGCATTGGGGTGTGTGTAAAGTATGTATGTGATAGGAGGTTATCCAGTGATTTGCAGTATAAATGGACAGATAGTAATGTACTCATGGGAAGTCAATAATTCTAGGATGCACTGAAGAGATTCCTTCAGTGCATCCTAGATTTCTAAGTATTTTAGAAAGCAGTCTATACAGAATAACAACTGTAATGCTAGTTACTTAGGAATCTAGAGCAACAGGACTGAAAATTCAAAGGTACTGTCAGCAAGTTAATGAGACCCTGTCTCAAAATAAGATAAAGGGCTGGGATTATAGCTCAATATTAGAGCATTTTGCTAGCATGCACCAGGCTCTGAGTTCAATTTCTACTATGAAAGAGGAAGAAAGGGAGTAGGGGAAGAGGATGCGAGAATAGAGAAGAGTGAGGAAATAGAAGTCTTGGAGTGGGATGTGGTCTCAGTGATGTTCTCTTGTCTTATCTACCTTCAGGTCCAGACGCATTGGGATGTTGACTGTACTCTTGAAGGTGGTTCGCACAGAGAGTCTTTTGGGCCTTTGGAAAGGGATGTCCCCTGTAAGCAACTTCCTGGGCCTTTGGAAAGGGATGTCCCCTGTAAGCAACTTCCTGGGTCTGGGTTGTCTTGCTGCAGCAGTCTCTCACCCACCTCACCAGCTCTTGGGATACAGAAGCCGGAAGTGGTCAGAGTACAATAGTTTCCCCCATCAATGGTTTCATGTTCTATGACATCCACCTTCAGCCCACTTCAGTTTGAAAATATTAAATGGAAATCCCAGAAAGAAACAGTTCATAATTTTTTTTTTTAAAGTACTGGGGATGGAACTTAGGACCTTGTGTTTGCCAGGCAGATGCTTAAACTGCCGAACTGTCTCCCCCGCCCCAGTTCATAAGTTTAAAAGGCACACTGTTCTGAGTAGTTGATGAAATCTCAGGCTGTCCCCATTGGTCTAGTCCAAGATGTGTTATCCCTTTGTGTAGCACATCTCTGCTACATGTGCCACCTGCCCGTTACTCACTTTGTAGCCATGTTTGTTTCAGGTGACCTTTATTTTACTTCATAGTATTCCTAGCACACAAGAGCGGTGATGGGGGCTGGCAAGACAGCTCAGTGGTCTAAAGCACCTGCTTAGGCAGGTGCAGGGGACCAAGATTCGATACCCAGCACCACATGCCACACCAGCCCTGCCCTCAGGGCAGGCTGAGCTGACCAAAAAATAAAGAATAAAATAAAATGTTAAAAGAAAAAAAGGTGGTGTTGGTAGTAGTGTTTCTTTTAAGTGAAAAAGTAGTTCTTAAGGAGGAAAAATGTCCCACATCAAGAGTGCTAAGATCAATGACTGTTCTGTGAAATTGTGAAGGAAAAAGAAATTTGTGCTGGTTTTGCTGTTGTACCTCAAATTACAAATATTGTGTCATAAGTGCAAAGTTAAGATGGAAAAGACATTAAGTTTCTCAAAGACAGGAACACAGAACCTGTGCTAGCTGGTGACAGTGCACTGTGCCAGAAAGCAGGGAGCTACATGCGAACCCCCAACAAGAGATCCTCCAAAATGAGCAGCTCCATTGAGTGCAAGTAGTGGAGGGTTACATGCATTCACAAGTAGGTTTGGGCTGAAAAATAGAGGAATTTTCCTTGACTTAAGAACTACTTTTTCACTTAAAAGAAGCACTTTACAGTTTCTCTTTGAGATAGAACAACTACTAGACTGGAGCAGCACTATCTGCTATCTGCTGGAAGAAGCTGCAGCTGTATTTGCAGCAGCATTGAGGAAGGGTACCTCCCAAAGCAGATCTTCCGGTGTGGTGATACCAGACACATCTGCAGAAACATGCCCGCTAGAACCTCGCCAGGAAAGTGCTGAGGAGGCCTCAGGGTGCGAGTGAGATGGAGGAGCATGTTGCAGCCTCAGGAAGCACAAAGACTGAAGAACTGGAATTTGCTGAGCCAGGTGCAGCGAAAGAGGAAAATTAAGGAGAAGAACCTGGAGCAGAGCCAGCAGCTGTGGACATTATCAAAAGTTGCTGAAGTGTTTTAGATTACACAGACATTAAAGGACAGAAATATCCTTGAACAGAACATGGCATGATCACACAGATGATTGAGGGTTACAGCTCATGTAGTAACATTTTCATAAAGAGATAAAAACATGCAGCTACGGTATCCTTCCAAGAGCTTTTCACACCCCCACGCTATTAAGGCTCCCCAGCCGTCAGCATCATCTGCTCTTGCCATCCAGGCGTCAGCATGGTCATTGCTTGACACTGTCAGGAGTGGCCTCATGTTACATCGCAATGCCTGTGTCAGCCCGTAGGCATTTTATCGTTATTACCACAAGAAGGGGATTATAGTATACAAACAGCAAGAGACACCACACATAACTTCATTATGGTGAAATCCTGTAGCCTCTGTTCTATTTATTGCTGTGCCTAACTTCTTTCTTTCTTTCTTTCTTTCTTTCTTTCTTTCTTTCTTTCTTTCTTTCTTTCTTTCTTTCTTTCTTTCTGTGGGGCCAGCTCAGCCCACTGGGGGGCGGGCTGGCTGGCATGTGGTGCTGGAGGATTGAACCGCGGTCCCTGTGCTTTGCTAAGCTTGTTCTAAGTAGGTGCTTTAGACCACTGAGCCATCTCACCAGTCCCTGTGCCTAACTTCTAAATGAAGCTTTATCATCCATGCATATATGCAACATAGGAAAAAAAAACAGTGTACATAGAGTTTGGTACCATCCACTGTTTAAAGACATTCTGTGGAGACCTTGGAACAGTTTCTTTGCTGATAAGAGGGGACTGTTGCACTTCCTGCTCATCTCTTGTACTTCATAAACTTCTGATTGAGGGTTCAGGGAAATACCGCATCTTTATATCTTGGGTATGATTTCTTAGTGTGACACAGTCTTTGTATCAGAAACGGCTGGACCCCTACTCATTGTTGTATCCTCATTCTTAACACTGCAGTGAAAGCAGCCTGGAAGCTCCACATCTGTATTTTCCTGAAGACTTTCTGGCCCTGAGGACTCCCTGCTGGAAGTGCCAAAGCATTAATGCTCAGTCTCAGTTCAGCACTCCTCAACCCCTGAATGATGAGAGTTGAAGTCTAAACTTCACCTTGCTGCCCATTTCAGTGGAGCTGTGTTCCACACTGTTACAGTGTCCCCTAAAAGGATTAAGTGTCCACTGGTACAATTTTTTTTTAATGTATTTGGTACAATATCTCACTGTGCAGCTCAGACTCACAGTGATCTTGTTTTCAGCCTCCCCAGCACTGGGATTACAGGTGTGTGCCACCACACCTGGTCTCGGTGGCCAGCTCAACACGCCTGGGGCCGGGGCCAGGGCAGCATGTGGTGCCAGGGATCGAACCCAGTCCCTATGCTTGCCTAAGCAAGCGTATAGTCCACTGAGCTATCTTGTCAGCCCCAGCCCCACAACTGGTTTTATAACACCATTTATTAGTTACCTTTTCTCCTTTGCCTACTTTCTATTCGTGTTGCTGCTATGCCTTCAATAAACTACTTGCATGCAAAGTCATCTTGGCATCTTTTGGGAACACCAAGTGAATACAGAATCTTTGATTTTTATCATTCCTCATTCTGACTTTTTCTGCAGTCCATCGTGAGATGTGTCCCTGGTGTTGGAATCTACTTTGGCACGCTCTACTCTTTGAAGCAGTATTTCCTGCGAGGCCATCCTCCTAGTGCCCTGGAGTCAGTCATCCTGGGCATGGGCTCTCGATCTGTTGCAGGGGTGTGCATGTCACCCATCACAGTGATCAAAACACGCTATGAGGTGGGTTTGCTTTAGTGCTTCAGGGTGGGCACACAGAGCTACTGGTTCCTTGGATGGTAATCACTGGTGTCAGCTCTTGATTTATATTCTTACTGATGTACGAGTGGGAGGTGCTCAGAGGATTCGTGGAAGGCTTGCTAGGCCGCAGTGTGGGGAGTGCCAAGTGACGCTAAGTGTGTTGGATCGTTGCTCGAGTGCAGGGCGTCTCTGTCAGGTACTTAAACCTGTGCTCCTTTTGTAGAGTGGGAGGTATGGCTATGAGAGCATCTACACAGCCCTGAGGAGCATCTATCGCAGCGAGGGCCACCGAGGCCTCTTCAGTGGCCTGACAGCCACTCTCCTTCGTGATGCACCCTTTTCAGGAATCTACCTGATGTTTTACAGCCAGACCAAAAGCATAGTGCTCCACGGTATGGGTAAAGGGAGGTGTGATGGGAAAGAGATGTCTCTAAGACACTGGGTTCTCTGTTTTCTCTGGGAGGTGAGACTTTTTTTTATTTTTATACATATGGGCTGGGTGGTGGGGCCAAGGTGGAAATGACAGACTTGGCTCTTCCCCTTGGAGTTTATATCCTCCTAAGGCCAAGAGTACTTGTGCTACTATGATTTGGGGTAGGGATTGGCTAGTTGAAGTAGAAAATGTGTTGCAGAGGTCCTGCAGCATCCCAGGACTTGTTCGTAAGAGTCCACCTAGTTAGCAGCTGTGGGGTACAATGTGGGAGTCTGTATTTTTCAAGAAACCTCTGGTGTGATCTGCTTCAGATAAGTTTGGAAAACATCAGTGGCTAGGGATGGATTGTTTGTCTCTGGCAACATGGTTTCACTGTGTAGCCAGGCTCCTTGATCTCACACAGTCCTTCCTCAGCCTCCTGAGTGCCATGCACCACCATGCATGGCTTAGCGTAGGGTTTTGAGGAAAAAAGATTGTCACCTCCCTTGCTGTGTTCCCAGTTCGGGTGGTTTAGAGTCCTGGTGGGCAAAATCTGTGGGCAGTAAGTAGCCACTCAAGTGGAGCCTGCCTTCAGTGAGGTGTGTGGGTAGTTAAGAAAGCTCGAGGGCTCCCCTCAGGACTGGTGGTCAGCACAGTCAGGGTGATGCGGAGGGTTTTGCTGCTTTTCCAGTCACATCAGGTATGACCTATCTGTGACAGAACACTATGGCAGTGTCAATAAGGAAGAAGGGAAGAGCGTGCATGCGTGCGTGTTTCGGGTGCTGGGGATTGGACCTACGGCATGACCCATGTGCTGTATTCCTGATCTGTATTCCTGACCCCTGGGAGTGCACTTTCAATTCTCAGTTTTCTTTATTTGATACTTAGGAATAATTTTAAGCATACAAACAAGCCACAAAACCAGCACAGTGTGCATCTTTTCTTCTGAGAATAAGTTGCAGGCATGGTGCCACTTTACCCTGAAATTCTTAGTGTGTGTTTCCTAAGAATAAGGGCAGTCCCTGACCTTAACAGATATAGGCAGTATAACATACAGTTCTTTATAGTCCATATTTTCATTTCTCTAATTGTCCTAGGAATATGTCTTGCGGTAATTTGTGCTCATTTCCAAGCGCACAGGCCAGTTGTTACCCTGGAATCTAGCTCTGTGTGATAAATTTATGTAATTAGATTTGGTTACACATTTTTAGCAATGAGACCACATATCACAGGTGCTGTGTTTAGATCAGGCTAATGATACTATGTTTGCCATATTGTAGGAGTAAATGCCAGCTGTTTTCCCTGAAAATTCAGTTTTTCTTTTGTAACTTCCTAGAATCTTTGTGGGAAGATAACTGAATCTTGGCTTTTTCACTTATATATTCTCTAACATCCTTTATGAATCATAATGATTCCATTCTACATGTATTAGTTGCACCTTTAAAAATTTAATTCTGGGCCAAGGTGATGGCTCAGTAGTGCAAGGGCCTGAGTTCAATCCCTGGTTCCACCCAAAAAAAAAAGATTAAAAATAATAAAATAAATAAATAATTTAAATCTTTGAGTCCACATCTTTCTGACATTTGGGAAGAATGGATAGCCAACTTGCACTGACCTTCCTCTGATGCATGTGAGATTTCTAACTGCAGGTTATGTCATTCTGTTTCAGACCAGTTGGACGTGGCCTTCGTTCCCATTGTGAATTTCAGCTGTGGGGTGTTTGCTGGCATTCTGGCCTCACTGGTAACTCAGCCTGCAGATGTTATCAAAACCCATATGCAGCTCTCCCCAGTGAAGTTTCAGTGGATTGGCCAAGCAGTAACGCTCATTTTCAAAGTAAGACTGGAGCGAAAGTACAGGTCCTTGCTACTAGGAAACTCCCTCAAGAGCAGTTCTCCTCTGTCACTCATACTGGAATCATGGGGAGCTTTAAAGATGTCCCTTCCCAGATCAAAATCTAGGGTGGTTGGGGAACTCAGTATCCGTTTTCACAAAGGGTGTAGCCCACTGGTAGAACATGTGCTTATCATGTGGGAGGCCCTGGCTTTGAGCGCTACCACCAAAAAAGAAAAAAAAGTTTCTTTTAAAAGTTCTCAGTGATTCCAACCTGTTTTCTAAAGGAAGAGGCAGATACATCAGAACTGCTGATGTGTCAGCATGCAGACTGTGATTCTACCCCAGACCTACTGAAGCAGGAGATCTGGATGGCTCTAAAACTGCTTAAGGATCTAAGACAATATAATCAGAAAAAGAGCACACACTTTATTTTATTCTAGCAGCTTCCTTTAGTAGTAATGGGGAAGTGGTATTGAAGCTAAGGAGTTTTGTAGGTCTAAGGGACAGTATGTTATATTTAAAAACTAGTGCTTTAAACCTAAAAAAAGGATTGACCCTTTTGGGACAGCACTGTTACCACAAATCAGACAGTTGTGTTAAAACTGTGAATTTGTGACACTAACATTCCTTACACTAAGCTGTCTACCTTATTCTGTATCCCTAAAATAATAGTTTTATAATATATTCTTTAGTGTATGTGAAGTTGCAAATCACTCCAGATTATGAGAGAGAAAGAAATGTTTTGCCTTTCTTAGAAAGGTAGACAGAGCTAAGCATGGTGCCATGCATGTGTAATCAGTTTCACAGGAAGATTACCAGGAGTTCAAGACCAGCCTGGACTACAGGCAAGACTGTATCTCCAAAAGCCAAATATATTTTTAAATATATTTTAAAAGGTAGGACCACCAAGAGAGCATACAGTGAATTCCAAAAATTGTGTTCCCTCCTGATAGACGAATGACCAACTAACTTTTCCTTCATCCTGGATCCAGGGCTTGGCAAACAAATCTTTGGGTTTCATCTGCCACTGTGGCTTAGTACTTCCATGTAGTTGGCAAACCGTACTGTCCATAGTAACCCTACATATGCTAAGAGAGCTGAGGGTGTGTCTCAGTGGTAGCAAACATGCTTAGCACACTCACCTCTCCCCAAATAGCTTTTTAGCTATGAAATTCTCCTAGACAGCGTAGGAGAAGGGGCTAAAAATGTAAAGCCTGCCAACTGTGCAAAAAGAGGTTTCTTTTTAAGTTTAGTTGTTATCTTCTTGGACCCATTTTTCATAAATATGGCGTAAGATTTAAGCTAAAACTCACAAAATGGGGCAGTCCAGAGCCACTTTGTCCGACATCAGGCGGATAACTGAATTACTCCTTTGCTTTTGGAGCCTAATGTTTATTTTCTTCACAGGACTATGGGCTGCGTGGTTTCTTCCAAGGCGGCGTTCCGCGGGCCCTTCGCAGAACTCTGATGGCAGCAATGGCGTGGACGGTGTACGAAGAGATGATGGCGAAGATGGGCTTGAAGTCCTGACAGGAAAGAGTGTGCCGTCACCCTACTGAGTGCTGCTTCACTGCACTGTAGCCAAGTGCAGTCCTTCCTGGAGAGCCAGGCAGAAACACCATCGCCTCCAGCCTCATTCAGGAAGACAGGTCTGACTGGAGTCCTTGGGCCCTTAGGAGTGGAGTCACAGTCACACCGTACCCTGGGGAGCTGGAGAAAGGCCTGCACGCCCCACAGGGCTCCTGGGGAGGCATGTTCAGGAGGACCTTTCAGGTGGCCTCCCCTGCACTACCGGGGCTCCTTTGGGATGTGCCCTGTGCGAGGAGTCACTGTCCAGAGCAGCAGCCTCATGCCTGGCTGAGGAACTGCCCGGTGAGGACTGTGGGTGGTGTTCTGGCCCAGCAGGCTGAAGGCTGTGTCTGAGCTGCTGTCCTGAGGAGGAGGAACTGAAGTTGTTCTTTAATGGATCCCTGGCCAGCTCAGACCCTCTGGATAAAGGGAGCAGTGACTTATTGGCCTCCAAATGTACAAATAAAAATTTTTGATCTTGGCTCTGCACTGTGTAAATCTAAGCTATTCTGGCATTTTCTGCAGTTAAAGGATATATAAAATAAAGCACTTTATTAGTGAAAATTGTTAGGAAACCCAGATAGTTATTTTATCACTCTATTGGAAAATAACAAAATAGTTCAAGGGTGGCTAGCTGTTGACCTACATGGGTCTCTAAAGCCAAAAAAAGACTACTTAACAACAAAAACCTTCATTTTACGTATCCTGCAGTTCACTTCAGCGTACAGTTCAGCGAGTTTCAGTAACTTTACTGACTAGTGCGGCCATCGTTGTAAGTCAGCATTAGGACACGTGCACCCCCAGCAAGTTCTCTGTCGTAGTGACTCGTGCCCAGCTTACTACCCAGGCTTTTCTGGACACTTGCATAGTACAGTCATAAAATCTGTAGTCTTGTTGCCTCCCAGGCAGCATGTTTCTGAGGTTCATTCACAATGTGGAATTTCTAACAATTTGTTCCCTTTTATAGCCAAATATCGTATAAATGTATAGTTACACCTTAGCATCCTGAGGCACCAAAATCCAGCGATATTCAAGTCGCTTATGAAAAATGGCAGAGTATTTATTTGCATAAAACCTACAGAGTTCTATACATTCATTTCTGTTATTTTTAAATACCTAATACAATATAAATGCCATATGCAGTTGTACACTGTATTAAGGAATAATGACAAGGAAAACAAGTTCACTGTGGCCATGTGGATCCTAAGGATACAGACAGAACAATGATACTTGTTCATTGCATGTGGGTTGTTTTCACTTTGACTATGCCATAAATACTGATGAGTATTTGCGTACTGGCATATGGTTGTATGAGTGAGTATACGCGCTATGACTGAAGAATATGGTGAATGTTTAAAAAAAAGTATTGCTGTAAAAACATTACCACTGATGCCCCCAGAAAGTACTTCCCCTTGCTTTAAACACACTTATCCCACCATTCTTGGTGCTTTCTGAAGCAGTTCTGGAAGTCCTCCTTAATGACTTTATGTTGTGGCTGCCTTGTGTCCTAAATTTTGATATTGGGGAAGAGCCAGAAGTCAAATGAGGACACAGTGCAGTGTCTTGTGACCTGCTTTTCTTTTGGCTGGTGCTCAGCCAGTATTTAGCATATTTTTCATTACACATCAGAAAGACTAACAACTTGAACTGCTTTCAAAAGTGGCAACGGGCTGGGGAGATGGCTCAGCGGAATAGGCATTTCCCTGGCAAGCACAAAAGGCCAGAGTTCAATCCCTGCTTCCGCCAAAAAAAAAAAAAAAAAAAAGTGGCAACAATGATGTGATACTTTTGAGGTGAGGGGCATTATTTTGAGAATCAGTGTCAAGACAAGCCAGCAATTCAGTGGGCTGGTGAGATCTTATCTAAAAAAAATATTGAAAAGGGCTGGCCAGATAGCTCAGCGGATTAAAGCGCCTGCTTAGGCAGATACAGGGACTGGGTTTGATCCCAGGCATGCCAAGCTGGCCCCACCCCGGGGCACGCTAAGACCAGTGATTTGAGACTGGGTGTGGTGGTGTGCGCCTATGCGCCTATAATCCCAGAGTTTGGGAGGCTGAAAACAGGAGGATCACTACGAGTCTGATCTGTGTAGTGAGACCCTGTACTAAATACATAAAATAAGTAAAAATAAAAAATACTGAAAAAGGCTGGGGATGTAGTGCAAATCCTAGGTTTCATGCCCAGTACAAAAACCAAACCAAACCAAAAAAAAAAAGAAAACTTACACATGTGAGTATCCTATTCTAAATGTCATTTGACACTACATAGCTTGGGGGCACAATTCAACTCCAAACACATGTACTAAATTTACTTAATGATTTAAAGGTTACAGTTTAAGTTCATACTGTAGGTCGAAATACCTTACTAAAAATAATCTGGGGCTGGGGAGATAGCTCAGTAGAATAAGCGCTTGCCTGGCAAGCACAGGGTCCTAAATTCAATCCCTGGTACTGGAAAAAAAAAAAAAAAATCTGGGTAAGGGTTTGGAAGCAGACAGCAGGGTCCTAACCTCTCATACCTAAGACACCAGGAGGTGCCTTTGTGAGCCTCAGTGCTAGAGGAAGCACTAAGGAATGAAAGGAGACAAGGGAAGGCAGGTTGGGTGTAGCTGCCACCTCCCCAAAACCTGAGGTAGGCTCCTGCACGCCCTTTTCTCAGGGCTTTCCGTCTCCTAAGGCCATGGAACCTGAAGCCAGGGTTCTCTAGTGGAACACGCACAGCATCCCTTAGACTGGGCTGGAGAATCTCAACAAGTTCCCACAAGACTTTCTCATTTGCTGGGGACAGAGGGTGATAAACCTAGGGGAAAATGGTCTAACTTTCTCTAACGGCTGAAATTTGCCTTTCTGAGCATTGCGGCAAATATCCCTAGCACACATATTCCAAACAAGAATTTACTTTCCTCTGCCTCTTGGTTTTGTTGAGATATATATATGCTTTACAATTGATTTGCCAATCAAAAGTAGACCGGCACCTTCCTGCTTTGAACAAAGACTTGCACTACACAAGCCAAAAACAGTGCTGTAAGTTTATTTCAAAAGTGAAGGGTACATGGATGTGGGAGAAATCAGCTCTGTAGAGCAAACTTGGATGGAACAAAAAGAAAAAGTAAAAACAAAAGTACAAGATGCCAGTGAGCTTCCCCGAGCTAGCTTTGAACATACTCCCATACACTGAGTTTACAACCAACCAGTGTTCATTAAAAAAAGAAAAACTAAAAACTGACCCTCTCTCAAAACCCTACCCACTCTTACATCGGTGTTTCCCAGTTAGGCTGAGCATTAATTAGGAATTTTAAGGGAGGTATTTCTAAGTTTTTTCCTTAGGGTTAGTGCCTGCGTTTAAAATGCCAAGCGATTCTTAATGCAGCCGGGAATGACATACCGCTGTATGGTTAATAACAAAGCTACTTGCTTACCATCAGCTTTTCGCTTTTCGCAATTCAAAAATTGTCCTAACTGCCCTCATTCTGGTGGGTTTTTTCGCGGAACCGGGGATTGAACTCAGGCCCTTGGGCTTGCCAGGGAAGCGCTTTTTTCTGAGTTATCTGCCCTGCTCCTGTAATCTTTTATATTATAAAAATCTTAATGGCTGTTACTGAATTGGGCGGAATAAATTTTTATTAACAGCCTACTACTGATGGATCTTGCCTCTTTCATTAAAAAATTCTATTACCTGTGTAGTCTTTTTGTCTTTGGGAAAACGCTCCATGGGCTAATATTAAAAATACGAATTACGTGTTACTAAACTGTTCTCCAAGAACTAGCGCTCCGGCTGGCGCTCCCGCGCAACCACAGCAGCAGGGCTGGGCGCAGACTCCCGCGGCGTTTGCTCCTAGAGACCAGAAACGGCGCCGAGAGCGACGAGGGCCCACAGCGCCACCGAGCCCGACGCACGCCCGCGTCCCCGACGGGAACGGCCCGCAGGCCCCAGGGCGCCGCCTCCCACCTCGGCCGCGGGCCCGCCCGAGTCTGCGCCTGCGCTGCCCCTGCCGCTCCGCCCGCCTTCCGGAAAGGAAGCCCCGCCCCGAGCGCACGCTCTGGCCACGCCCTCCTTCCGCTTTGGTTGCTCTCCATTGGCTAGCGGCAGCCTATATAATCACGTCATTTCCGGCCGCCTATCCTTTCCGTGCTCCCCGGTAGGGTCCATACGGCGTTGTTCCTGGTGAGTCGTCCGCGGTCTTCCCGGCGCCTCCTAAGGCGGCGAGGAAGAGCCTCCCGGGCTGAAGGGCCGGGCGGAGAGCCGGTCGGGCTGGGAGTGCGCGGGGGCTCGGCGCGTTCTGCCTCCGCCGCGGCCCGCACGTGGCCGGGCCGCCCCCAGCTTGGGTCAGGCTGCCGTGGCGGCGGACCCGCCTTGTTCCGCGCTCTTGCCCGCTGGGCCCCAGCTTGGCCGGTGGCCGAGCCAGGCCGTCTTTGTTCCGTCCTCCGGGCTGGTCGAGTTCTATACCTTAAGAGTGGGGCAGCTCTCTGGTCGGCCTGAGGCAGAGTTGGGGACGAAGAATGAACCACTAGTGAGCTAGGTTTCTTGAGACCAGTGTAAACTGACGCAGACAGTGTGGAGTGCCCTCCCACCTCCAGGGAGTTGCACGCACGTCATAGTAAGCGCCTGCAAAGTAACCGGCATTTGCTAGGTTTTTTTCCTTTTAGGCCCTACGGATTGGAAAACTGGGTTAGAGACCCTGAGGTCATTTTAAGGCCACAAGCCACGTGTAACAAGTGGCCACTAACAGCTGAACAATGCCTGTTTCTGCTTATGTCTGATTAGCTCTGGGTGGAGGGCTGCATGCAGCCACTCCTCCCCCCTAAGCCCAGGAGCTGTTCTCCTAGTAAAACTCCCTTAACTACCTCTTGGTTTGCATCTTAAACCATTAGCTTGCTACAGTGGAATGGGGGAGCAATTCTGATAGACCTGCGTAGTCTTTTTTTTTTTTTAAATTTTTATTTATTTGTTTGTTTATTGTGTGTGTGTGTGTGTGTGTGTGTGGCCAGCTCAGCCCACCAGGGGATGGGGCTGGCTGGCATGCGGTGCTGGGGGATTGAACCGCGGTCCCCGTGCCTTGCTAAGCTTTTTCCAAGTAGGTGCTCTAGACCACCGAGCCATCCCACCAGCCCCCTGCGTAGTCTTTTGAAGTGTCTTAAAACCTGTTGACTATGTGTCCCCAAATGTGGTCTTTCACCTTTAATTACCTTTCCTCATGCGCAGCTTTTCCTTCACTTGTGAATATATTGAAAAGCATAACGGACTGGGCGTGGCAGTAGATGCCTGTAATCTCCTTTGGGAGGTGAAGCAGGCTTGCATTGAGTTGGAGGCCACACTACTACACAGGGAGACTCTGTCTCAAAAATGCATAACATTTCACCTGCTGCTTTCTGGTTCAGTTAGCTTGGCATGTAGTCCATACCACTTTCCTTAGCAGGATTTGTTGTGTGTTGCATGTTATTTGTGAGTATTGTGTTGCCCTCCCATCCTGTGCTGTAAGCTTAGTGCCTCATGCAGAAAGCAAATAACTAATTTTTTTTATATATATATATAAATACCAGATTCCCATCGTAACTTAAAGGGAAACTTCACAATGTCCGGAGCCCTTGATGTCCTGCAAATGAAGGAGGAGGACGTCCTCAAGTTCCTTGCTGCAGGAACCCACTTAGGTGGCACCAACCTGGATTTCCAGATGGAGCAGTATATCTATAAAAGGAAAAGTGATGGTCAGTTGCTGCTTTGGTTTTTGTTATTTTAGCTGTAAGTACGAGTTTTGGGTGTACCGTTTTTGAGGAGCAGTACTGCTTTGGGATGGTGGTTGGGAAGAAAGTTTGAGCTCTGGTGAGTAGTGAGAAGCTACAGAATGTGAAGTATTCTCGTAGAGCCTTCAGCTTCATGGATGCTAAAACATTGAACTGAAATCTGAGGAGAAACTGGTGTAAGAGGTATAAACAGCCCAGAAGTACTCGGTTGCGCATGATGGCGGGGGGGGGGGGGATTAAGTGACAGCTTGCTCACTCAGCCTAGATACAACCCCCACTGTGAGAGAAGAATGATAAGAGGCTTACTGATTAGTACAGGGGAAAGAGTGGGAAATGCAGATTGCCAGCTGAGTCGAGACAGCACACTATTAAAGCCCAGGTGGAGGCTAGTCTTGGCCAGCCAGTGAACTTCTGGGTGTCGGAAGTGTGCTACATTAATGGCAGGATTTTCGCTAACACCAGTGGAGCCTGCCTCTGTGACTGGAGTTTGCTACTGTTCACTGCCACATCTCAGCCTTATAGAAGAATGTCGCATCTGTAGCACATAAAAATCCCTGTGGAACTGAGGTGGAGCTTGGTATATAGTGTGCTAAGCATGTGTAAGGCCCTGCCTCCATCTCCAGTACCTAAAGAACTGTGTTCTCACCTAGGAATCTACATCATAAATCTGAAGCGGACTTGGGAGAAGCTTCTCCTGGCAGCTCGAGCCATAGTGGCCATTGAAAACCCTGCTGATGTCAGCGTCATATCCTCCAGGAGCACCGGCCAGGTTGGTGAACAACTGCTCTTCCTTTTTTTTAGGTGGAACCGGGGATTGAACTCAGGCCCTTGCGCTTGCCAGGGAAGCGCTTATTCCACTGAGCCATCTCCCTGGCCCCACCACTGCTCATTTTTATACAAGAAAGCCTTTCAAAAAGACTTTGAGTACTAGTCCTTGTCTCCTGTGTGTGTGTAGTACAGCGTCTGCGTAGTCTCACTATACAGATTGGACTTGTAGTGATCCTTCCTATTTTTCGGCCTCTCAAGCTCTGTAATTAAGCACATGCCACCATTCCCAGTCTCAGCCACTGTCTCAGTGTGAGGCCAGCACAGGCCGGGGATTGAGGCCCCTGCATGTACCTAAGCAGGCACTTTAGTCTGCTGCGCTATCTGGTCAGCCTTGCAGATCTTTTAAGCATCTTTGGCAACTTGAGAAGTATGTTGGGTTTTAATAACTAGTGAGATCAACCTTTGCCCTTTTCCTCAGGCTCTGTGTTGGGGTACCCCCTTGGAGAAAACTTAGACTGCTTTTTGAGGTGGGGTTTCACTGTGCAGTTTAGGGTGGTTTGAACTCACTTTGTAGCCAAGGTTGGCCTCTCTCAGCAAGCCTGCCTCAGCCTCCCAGTGCTGGAATTACAGGCATGTGCACCATACCTGGCCTTAACAGTTCTCTAAATTAATTGCAGATTGAGTTAAAAACAATTACTTATTTATTTTTTGGCAGAATGGGTATTGAACTCCTGACACTTGTGCTTGCCAGGGAAGTGCTTATTCTGCTGAGCCAACTCCCCACCCCACCCCACCCCTTTTCTTGAGACAGTCTCACTACAGTTCAGGCTGACCTTGAGCTCCCTTTGTAGCCCAGGCTAGTCTCCACTCAGTCACCATCCTGCCTTAGCCTCTCAAGAGCTGAGATTGTAGGTGTGTATCACCACATGCAGCCCAGAAAGAAAAGTATTTGTAATTGTCAGAGAGTGAACTGAGTGACCACTTATCCGCCCCCATGAAAATTAACTGAATTTACATAGGTTAGACCAGACGGGCCTATCTAGGTACTTGGACTCTCCCAGGGAAATCTGGAGGAGGACACAGAAAGATACAGTAGCTCTTGGTTAAATTGGACCAGAGATGAAAAATGTTTTGATAGCTAGCATTATTCTATTAAATATATTCACTTTTTTTTTAATATTTATTTTTATTTATTACATTTATCTATTGTGTGTGTGTGTGTGTGTGGCCAGCTCAGCCCACCAGGGGGCAGGGCTGGCATGTGGTGCTGGGGATCGAACCGTGGTCCCTGTGCTTTGCCAAGCTTGTTTCAAGTAGGTGCTTTAGACCACTGAGCCATCTCTCCAGCCCTATATTCACTTCTTGAGCCTACAGTAAACTGATAGTTTCATAAATAACTTGGCCAAGTCACTAATAAAGCAACACCCTTGGCACTTAACATCCAGGCAGGAGGATTAGAGGTTGAAATGAGGGAGCTGTTAAGGTGGGCACCTGAGGGAGTGAGGGTGGGGAGAACATTTTCACAGGCAGGAGGTGTAGCGTTAGGGACATGCAAGTAAGTAGTTCTCAGTTAACCTAGAAGATAGAAAAATTAACTGGTTTTGGTTAGGTTTCCCTTTTTTTACCCAGGGTGAGGATTATACTTGGGGCCTCATGTGTGCTGATAGCACTGTACCCTCATTGAGTTGCACTTCCAGCCCCTGATATTTTGTTAACTTGAGGGTTTCAGCTTTGAGGAAGGGATGTGTGCATTCCAGCTAGATAGGCTGCAGGCTTTTTACCACAGTTCAGAACTGGGTGTTCCCACAGTTGCTGTGAAATCGTCCTTGAAGTACTGCTAACTTATTTCCTATTTCAAAGCGGGCTGTGCTGAAGTTTGCTGCTGCCACTGGAGCTACTCCTATTGCTGGCCGCTTCACTCCTGGAACGTTCACTAACCAGATCCAGGCAGCCTTCCGAGAGCCACGTCTTCTGGTGGTTACTGACCCCAGGGCTGACCACCAGCCCCTAACGGAGGCATCTTACGTCAATCTGCCAACCATTGCTTTGTGCAACACAGATTCTCCTCTGCGCTATGTGGACATTGCCATCCCGTGCAACAATAAGGTAATGAGTTCAGGACCTGTTCTGTACGCAGGTGCTCTGGAAAACGCCATTGTGAGAGCTTGCACATTGTTAGAGCTTGGGGTGAGGCCCCTGGCGGGCCTGTGGACCCACAAGTGTAGGTAGTGTGCTACACGAGGGGCAAGGCTTTCGCTAACACTCCACTCTGGCCCAGTGGGTGGAGCTTGATAGTAACCCTTGCTACAAGTACAGTGTTAATGTGTAGCAGCTTTGAGGAGAAACAGGTTGTGGATAATGGCCTGTTTTCCAGCATTACTTAGCCCCTCTTTTCAGGTGACAGTGTGTTCCAAAAAAGATGGTAGGTTGTGTGTGGTTCAGAGTGGTCTGCTTGTTACTGGTCTAAAAAATGATGCAAAACAATTTATCCACCAGGTTTTTGTTACTTGGATGACAGTGTCCAGGGACACTTCTTAGACAGTGCTGGCCAGGGTCTCATTTAGGTCCATGGGGTGCCATCCTGACAGCAGAGGTTTCTGTTTTTCCAGTCCCCTTGATTTCAGTATGCAGTTTGATCTTTTGATTAGTAACATAATGTTCCTGTTAGAATCACTTTTGTATCTTACAGCATAGGGTTTCATTTGGTACCAAGGGACCTATGAGGGGTGAGGGATTAGGTGCACAAGGTGAATTTATAATTTCAAGCTGCATGCTGACCACTTGTTAATAACATGGCATTCTTCACAGGGAGCTCACTCTGTGGGTCTGATGTGGTGGATGCTGGCCCGGGAAGTGCTGCGCATGCGTGGCACCATCTCCCGTGAACACCCATGGGAAGTCATGCCTGATCTCTACTTTTACCGGGATCCTGAAGAGGTAAGTTTCCTGCATAAAAGGCTGATGCATAGTAAGCAGGTGAGGCACCTCATTCTTCTTTCTTGAAGAAATACTGTCACTGTGATCTTTTTATATCACCAGATTGAAAAAGAAGAGCAGGCTGCTGCTGAAAAGGCTGTGACCAAGGAGGAATTTCAGGGAGAATGGACTGCACCAGCGCCGGAGTTCACTGCTGCTCAGCCTGAGGTCGCAGACTGGTCCGAGGGTGTGCAGGTGCCCTCTGTGCCCATTCAGCAGTTTCCTACTGGTATGTGTCAGGACCCAGGCTTCACTCTGAGGGTTTGCATCTTACTGCTGATGAAACAACCTGGTGGGCTGTGCAGTGTGTTTCATAGATGGCTGTTTTTGGTCTTTCCTTAACAGAAGACTGGAGTGCTCAGCCGGCCACAGAAGATTGGTCTGCAGCCCCCACCGCGCAGGCCACTGAGTGGGTAGGAACCACCACCGAGTGGTCTTGAGCTGTTCTGCCAACGCCTCAGCAAAGTGGGAATGAGGCTGATGAAAAATAAAACAATTTCTAAGAACTGTGTCAGTTTTTCAAGTTCACAGTGGCTAGAATTTACTTCTTAAATCATAGGCCAAGTAACAGCTTTTTGCTTGGGGGTTTTCTTGAATTTCTGTTCAGAAAGTGGAAGCCCCAGGGGTGTTTTTTCCAAGGTCTGATACTGACTGTATTGTCCTTTACACTGATGCAGGGGCCAGACTGTAGTCGATAGATTTTAATGGCAACTGTCTTGCTGTTTAGTGCTTCCCAGGGTTGATTTCTGATGTGACAGGTTTATTTTTTTGGTGTGGGCAATTGAACTCAGACCTTGCGTTGCTAGGTAGGTGCTGTGCCACTGAGCAAACTCCCTGGCCCTGCATTGTTTAAAGTGCTGATGGCTCCCTCCTGAACTGATTATATACGGTGTTACTACCTGTAATTTAGAGGACCTTACTATGTAGTTTAGATTGGCTTCAAACCGTGGAAAACTACTACCTCAGTCTCCCAAGTGCTGGGATTACAGGTGTGCAGCACCATCTCCAGCTTAAGGAAAAAAGTCTTAAAGAATGGACTGAATAGATCCCTGAACCCACTCGCATGGATGAATGTGTTGTTTGCGCTATGTGGCTGCATTCTTATGCACTTGGTTCTGTTATGAAGGGGTTGTGTGCTGCTCGGCCGATGTGGTAAGCCTTTGTCAGATGTGGGCAGAGGGACCATGTGCTGTGTCCCAGTCCTAAACACGGAGGGAGGAACTTTGTGATTCTTGGGCAGTGTTGCCACTTAGAATCAAAGTGGTGGGTAGCAGGAAAGAGTGAGGCCGGAACTTTTTTTTTTTCCCCCATAATTTTATTGAGAAATAGCAATGAGACAGTTTCAAACCAAATTGGTAGGACAGTTTCAATAATTAACACATTGCATACATTCTTCCTACTGGTTAACTGCTGTACAAGATGCAGACATATCCTACTTATGAACACCATTAGAAGGGCTGGTGAGATGGCTCACTGGTCTAAAGCACCTACTTAGAACAAGCTTAGCAAAGCACAGGGACCGCGGTTCAATCCCCCAGCCTCACATGCCAGCTAGCCCCGCCCCCTGGTGGGCTGAGCTGGTCACACGCACAGAGATAAAAATTAAACACCATTAGAACAAATCCCTCTATTAAGAGAATGTAACTATATCTATCCTAACCACTTTGAATACACAGATACAAAATGGACATTCATCTAGATGCCTTTTTTTTTTGTTAAGTTCCATCATTTAAATATTATAGGTGTGTAAACTCAGAAAAATATTCTAAAAGTTCAGAGGTCCATAATAGTATTGGGTCTTCTGCTTCACTGGCAATGTCAGAAATTGTTGACCTGAGTGCCCTACAGCTCAACATAACACCATGGCTTTACTTCTTATACTTTGTTTTTATACTTTTCTGCTGGATGGTTAAGACCAAGGTAAAGCAGGACCTATGCAACAAGAGTTGTGGTTTTCGGTTCTGATAAGGTCAGTGAACCCCTCAGGATTTATCCTGAGATCCTGTACCTCAGATTGTAGAACCTTTGTCAGTGTCAGCCATGCAGATGAGTCACGGCCATTGCTTGGCCAATGTGCTCTCTGTGAAAGCCTGAGAGAATGTTTTCTCTCCATGTGACTCGTGAGGCACACTACATCATCAATCACTTTCCTCTTTGGCCCCATAATCTCCTTGATCAGAAAATTTGAGGCACTACCAAGTTACATGATGATACAGTACAAGTTCTCATATGTCCTGAGTCTTAAGTGACCTTGGAAGGCTAGGGCCAAAATGTTGGCTTTCCTTGCAGCCTGGAACTCTTGAGGAAATGAAGCTCCTTTGTCTTTAGAAAATGGCTAGAGAGGAAAAGACCGCTTGTCAATCACTGACCAGCCCCACTGCCACCGTTCCTCTTCCTCTGGCTCCTGCCTTTTACTTTTCTTACAACAGGTGAGGTCCACCCGGGAGATCCTAGATGGGATTTCCTGCATAACCCCCTGGCAGTGTCTAGTCTGGCCTGTAGCTGTTCTATGAGAGTTAAGATGTGGCTCCTGGTGCTGGCCAGCACTAGCTGGGTCAGACTTTGCTTTCCTGGTGTGCAGTTAGCTCAACACTGCTGAACTCAGGTTGGAGCCTGTGAGTGTTAGCCTGCCCTCTAGTGGGCTTCCCAGGGATTACTGGCCCTTCTAGCCCAAGGCCATTGCTAAGGAGAGGTGGGAAAAGCCACTTGATGGGTGCAAGTGAACTATCCCTTTGCCAAAACTTTGCTGTCACTTAGGAACAGGTGTTTTCAAAATCCTTGATAGGAGGTCTTCCTATGTAGTTCAGGCTGGTGTCAAACTGTTAATGACCTTCCTGACAGACTCCCAAGAGCTGAGATACATGTGGGCTGCCATGACCAAGCTTATTATATGCCAAATATTGGGAAACAAAAATGGAGTCTCCTGCCAGACCTCAAAGAGGATAAATAAAGCAATCTTACAGAATAGCACTAAGTCAGAATGCATGGCGTATTCTAGGTACTTGGCTATAGAAATTGTGTAGACGGGTGTTTATTTTGTGCTTTTACATAGACCGTTGGACGGCTTGTTTTCATGATATATAACCACAAGTTATAAGACCTGATTTTAAGCAGAAAACATTTTCAGGGGCGGTTATTCATAGCACTCCACCATTGCCCCAATACTTTTTTTTTTGGCGGTACTGGGAATTGAACTCGGGACCCTGCACTTACCAGGCAAGTGCTTATTCTACTGAGCTGTCTCCCTGGCCCCTCCCCCAATACTTTAGAAGAAAAATGATACTGCTGAAGATGATTGAGAATACATTTTAACATTGTGTCATGCATTGCTCATCCAGAATTAACCTGGCAATGGTGTGACAGTCTACATTAGCCTCTGCCTTCTGCATCTTGGAATGAAGCTGCTACTCTGGCTGGGGAAGTCGGGCTGCTGCTTCCCCACAGAAATCAGGAGATGGTGATTGGTATGTCGAGACTGTCCAAGTCCAGGAGGAGACACTCTTGACTTCACTTTAAAGGATTTGCTGCCTCTCAGGGAAGCAAGGAACAATTTGCAGTGCAAGTTTTTAAAAGTCAGTGTTCTAAGAAATAGCCCATTTTTTCAACAAGGAAAATGGAGACACCCCTCCCCCACTCCTGTTATTTTTAATTTGCATTTGCCTACAGCCACTCCCGCAGTGTCCTGAAGGTGGGCAAGGAGACGGCATTTCTTGCCTCTGGATGTAGCACAGCCTTGCCGATCCTTTACTTCACCTGAGCAAAATGACTCAGACTTCTGACCTCCAGGCTGTCAGGTGATGCAGCTGTCACCATGTTGCTTTATACCCCCCTGAGCTTGTGGCACTTGGTTACATCAGTGAGAAGCTCATACTCTAGATAAAGCCTTCCTTGTCACGCTAGCCTGGTTTCCATGAGAACACCAGGTTCCAGGTCTCACTAACCTCCACACCCTCACCAGGGCATAGTGCCTCCAGTAAGATGCATTTGGTTTAATAATTGATGTTAGAGTCTCTATCCCAAATAGAGGCATGGCTTGTGGGTGACAGATACCTAAAATAACTGGCTTAGAGAGGAGAGCAGCGTGTCCTCCCTCCTGTCTGGATTCTCAGCCAGGCACCCGGAGAGCACTTTGCCTCCTGTAGAAAGGAAGCAAGGACGGCAAAGACACTGCCAGCTGAGAAGGGCCTACAGGTAGTTCCAAAGGCCAGCAGGCCTCCCGCCACCTCGCCGGGAAGCTGAGCCTCTCTGACTGCCTCACCAAGCTTCTGTGACTGAGGAAGGAAGCTGAGGTGGGGGCGGGCGTTGTGGCCTCTGACTTCCTGGCAGCGCAGAGTAT